AAAATTAAAGAAAAAATATTAGAAACTTGTAGTAATTTTGAATTTTGATTCATAATTTTGTCATTAATCAATCTTTTTAAGTGTTACATCCCGGTAAACTGAAGACCACAAATTGGGCCCTAACTTGGGAAGGGGATGCAAAGAAGCTACCCAAAAACGAAAGTAAGGGATTCATCTTTCTATAAAAATTTTTTAAATAAATAAAAATAAAAACATAAAAATCGAAGGTAATGAAAATTTTAAAATGGTGTAAAACAAAAATTAAAGTAAATGAATATTGGAAAAAAACTTCTTACATTTTTAAATTAAATTCGTTTTGTTTCATTCTCATTGCCTAATTACATAGAATTTCTCTTTATCATTTAAAAATTAACATTTAATTAAAAATTATTCCCTTTGTAAGGCAAAAATCACACACATTTTTTTAAAACGACGCCCATTTTTCGTATTTAGGCAATTAGAATGAGGTAAAACTATGTGAATAAAAAGACAAAAATTTCTTACTGAAACGTTCATTTGCCATTCGTTTTTGTTTTAGATTCTCAAAAATAAAATTTTAAATCATTTTTACTAGAGATCGGCTCGATACGATTTTTTATCGATAATTATCGATATTTTTCGATATTTTTTTTCGATATTTATCGAAAAATATCGACCGAGAAAATTTTGACTTTTTCGATATTTTTCGGTATTCGATATTTTTTCGATATTTATCGAAAAATATCGACCGACAAAATTTAAAAATCGAAACAATCGATCGACCAAATAATAAAAAATCGAAAAAATATCGAACATCATTTTTGTCAAAAATCTGACATTTTGGCACCAAAAAGGATGCATTTTTGCTTCTTGCCCATCGGAAATTCGAAAAATTCTTGCCTGCGGCGCAAGAAAAGTAGAAAGGCTTCTTCTATATTCACGATATAGTTTGCCAAAGCGAGATGAGAGTGAGATAATATATGGTTTCTCTGTTTTTTCAGTAGATTAAGGGAGATTTCAGTGGGTTAAGAGTAAATTAAGAGTAATAAGAGTGCGTTAAGAGTAATTTGATGGTATATCCGAAGATTTCGTGGAATATTTGAGTAACCAGGAGCATGACGGATATTGTGGATATCCGTGATAATCGACTATTTGTATAACTAATAGAGGATTAAGTTGATAAAATGGATCTTAAGGGATCAAGACGGACTTTGGGAGAGATGGATATCAAAACGGGTATCAAATGTCAAGATTTTTTATCCTCTGATATCTCTTTATCCCCCGATATCCCTCTTAATCCACAAATCCCTTGATATCCCTCATGATCTCACAAATCCACAATATCACTCTTACTACCTCTAAACTCTCGATACACACTCCATCCATTAATATCCCCTTAATTCCTTAAAATCCATTATCCATAGATAAAATCCACTTATATCTCACTTGATCCTTCGATATCAATACAAATCCATTGATATTACATTTAATATGTCCAAATCCACCAATATCCTATTTAATCAATCTTAATCTTATTAAACTATTAGGTCTATTCTGTTTTTCATTGGTTATAGAAAATTTTTTGAAAAATCGAAAAATATCGAGACTTTTTTTTCGATATTTTTCGGTTTCGATATTTTTCGATATTTATCGAAAAAATATCGACCGAGAAAATTTTGCTTTTTTCGATATTCGGTATTTTTCGATATTTATCGAAAAAATATCGACCGAGCCCACCGTCCGGGCTTTACTTAAAATCCACATTAATCCATCCAAATAATCCGTTATACCATTCAAATTTTGAGAATATTTGAGGAAAAGAAGCTAGATTTTTTCCCTTTTCAGCGCCGCAGGCAAAAATTTTGAAAATTTCTGAAGGCTGTAAGCAAAAAAATTCATCATTTATTAGTGATACGAAATATTTTAAGAATTTTAGAGGGCCAAAAAACCTTAATTACTCCATGTAAAAATAAAATAATTTTTAAAACAAAATTAAACTCATAAAACAGGGTTTCGATATCTGCGGATTTTTCCTCATTTTGTGGTTTTTTGATAGGGCGATGAGGATTATTTTTAAAAATGCGGATTTGCGGATTTTTGTGGTCTTTTGAAGATTATGAGGATTTTTTATATTTTCTTGTGGTTTTTAGTAAAAATGTCATTATTTTTCCGCTAAGACCTTCTAAAATCCTCAAAATTTTCGCCTGCGGCGCTGAAAATGGAAGAAATCTGGCTTCTTGGCCTTCCAAAATTCTCAAAATTTTCGCCTGCGGCGCAAAAAAGGAAACAATCTGTGTCCTTGATATGCAAAGTCCTCAAAATTTTTTGCCTGGCCTGAAAATGAACGATTTTTGGCTTAAGGTTCTTCCAAGATTAAAAAAATTTTCGCCTGCGGCGCTGAAAATGGAAGAAATAAAAATTTGCGACATCTTCCACGATAAAAATGCAAGTGTAGTTTTTCAGATAGTTGTTGGATTTTCATAAGATGATCATTAGTAATAAAAAATAAAATGCATAAAGTGATTTTAATTCTATTTTTGTGTTGATAATTTTTTGCGGATTTTTTATATAAAATGCGGATTTTTTCGATCAATTTTGCGGATTTTTAAAAATTCGAGATCGAAACCCTGTCATAAAATGATTTATTTGTTGAAAGAAAAATTCGAAAATTTATTATCCTACGACCGGTAAGCGAACCCAAATTAAAATCATTAACTCCTTGAGTGAAGCCCAAACCCTTAACCACTCGGACACCCGCTCATCAGAGTGCAATTGAAAGAAAATAAACATATTTCTTTCGATTTTTTTATTACAATTATGAGAGTACGAGTATTTTATTAATATTTTTTGAAAAAAACTAATCCTTAGGGGTATAAAAAAGTTCCGGTTTGGCCGGAACCAATTTGTAAACCGGAGCCGGAACCGGAACCGGATCCAATTTGAGTTCCGGTTCCCGGAACCGGAACCGGAACCAAAAAAACACCGGAACTTTCCGGAACCGGAACCGGAACTTCCGGTGAAACTCTATTAATTACCAAATAACAAAGATTTAAATTAGATGCAACTTTATTGACCCAGACACTGGACGTAATATTAAAAGAGTAGAAGAAATGTGGGGGTAATGCAATCTGGAGGAATAAGGAGCAAAGTGAACAGCACGCATCACTTTATGAGTTATTTTGCTGAATTTGTCCTTAGTGAGTAGGAGACGTTTTTGAAGAAATTATGCTTGCTTGGGGAAATATTGGTCATTTGCCTTCCTCATTTTTCCGGGACAAGTAAAAGCCACCTTTACCAACCGAAGTTTTACCGATCAAAGGGAGTTTTGCTGAGGAAATTATTATATTTTAGTCTACACGATTGAATTTAGAATCGGTTATTCAAGAATGCCTGGTACTTTATTTTTAATTATTTCATAATTATCAAAGTATTTTAAATAATTTTATTTTTATTTTTGAAAGCTTTATTTTCTCTGAAAAAATGTTTTATTCTTTACCAATAGAAACAAAACTTGATATTTTTAAATTTCTTGGTTTTAAAGAATTATGTTCAATCAAACAAACCAATTTGTATTTTTGTCATTTTATTAATAATTTTGAAGGAGAACTTGCTCGGGAGAAATTTCATTTCTATTGTAACGTTTTTTAATTAATCTTTAATAAATTTTCTTCTAAGGATCGATTCAAAACATATTCAGTAATTAAACCCAAAGCTGAAAATTTTGACCTTCCATTGAATGAACAACTCGAAGAGCAAGTAAGTAAAACATATATGCACATTAATAATTAAGATTCTTTTTAGTGGAAAAATGGACTAGATAAGCCAACTCCTTTATATTTATCTGCTCATGATTCAAACAAAAATATTGTTATTTTCGTCGCTAAAGGTTAAATTTTGATTAAAAATGGAGAAAGTAAGGCATGTATACTGCAGAAAGCGATATCCATGCCAGTTTTCACAAGCATCTTCTAAATTTTTTTATAAATTTTCAGCTAACAATAATCAAGATTTAGGTATAATTTCGGAATACTAAACAGAAAGCAAATTATATGTCATTCGAAAGAGCTTGTCGAGTTGAGTCGAATTGTGAAAAAATTTTCTTGCAGACTCATACAGGGGCTGAGATATAGGCCCCCGAAAATCGAAAAACCATAGGGGGACCAAGCACTTTTTTGGGGTAAAAAATTCGAAAAGGCAAATTATACCTCATTCAAAAGAGCTCCTCGAGCTGAGTCGAATGACACCAAAATCAACGAAATCAGACGTGATTGGACAAAGTTATGACCGTTTGTTTTTACCACTTCCAGAAGGTTTACGCGGAAAAAAGTTTTTGCCGCTGCGGAGGAAGGAAGAGCTGTTTTGAATGATATATAATAAATTATCTATCATTCAGTAAAAGCTCTGAAAGGTCAGGGAAACGTAAAACAAGTCTAGTAATTAAATTAATTTAATTAATTTTTTAAACACAAAATAGCAAACTTATCTTCTCTTAAAACCTCTAGCTTTTTAAATAATGTTCAGATCTTTTGATCCAATTATTAAAAATTATTATTTTTCAATTTCAATTGGCGGAAGACAAAATTGAGCTTACTCCCCCCAGTGGTTTTTCTATTTTCGTGGACTTATATCTCGGTCTACAAGCTTTCCTCACCTAAAGGTGTTCCATTCGACTCAGATCACTAAGACGAGGCGGATAATATATGAATCAAGAGTTTCTGAGTGGGGGTCCTAGAAATCGATTTTTGGTTCCCACATTTTTTCATTAAGAGTAAGAATCGTTATTATTCAAAACAATTCCTCGTGTAAATGTGATGATGTTAAATCTTTTTTTGATTAATTAACTGAATACTATGTAATAGAATCTGCATTTTGAAAAAGGAAGTTTGTGGACCCGAACTAAAACTTATCAAGCTTCTTTTAAAATATGTATAAACATAAATTATAATAAAAAAATTTATAAAACACAAAATAATTTAATCAAAACAGTCAATGAAACAAAAAAATTTTTAATGTAAAATAAGCTACCAATAATTTTGAGTAATTGCTATCTCCCTTATATGTTTATTATAAAAAATAGAAAATTTAATTTTTGGATTGTAAATGTTGGAAATTTGGTGTTTTGTTATTGAATAACGCCCATTATCAATTTCCTCTCCAATCTGTTCAGCTCTTTTAATAAAATTAGTAGAATTAATGTCAAAACTATAAAATTCAATATTAGCCACCATTTTTGAGCAATCTTTTGACGTTTCGATATACTAAAATTGCAAGAAAAAATTAAATTATTAATGTATTTTTACGTAAAAATATGATAAAATTAAAGTTTCACTTCCCCTTTCCCTTTTTCTCCTTCCTCAAAGTTTAAAAAAATGGTCCGAACAGAATATGGTAAAAAATTATTCTATGAATATAAGTACAAGTTCAGTTTCCGGTATCAGTATGGCTTTCCATCCCTAAAAAATCTGTAGGATTAAAAACTTACGTTTATAATATGATCAAAAAGTTGCTCAGAATTATACGGCCTTAAGCAAGCTTTATTAAACTTGTGTCCACTCATTAAAATTTTAAATAAATGATCTGCATGTTTTGCCTTGTATTTATTACGAGCAAAGTCAATTATAAGAGATTCACAAATAATTAGATGATTCAAAACAAATTTTAATTTATTTCCTAGATAGTAATCCATATTAAGCCAATATTTTTTAATATAGAATTGTTTAGTAGTTCCAAATAATAATTCGATCACTTCAGGATTGAATATAAATTCTCTAAGACTGCATCGTTCAAAACAACAATTAAATAATTTATTTAAATAATAATAAATAATTTTGATGTCATTTTTGCTTTTAATAATTGTTGGTAGTTGAAGTTGAAGATAACGAAGTTTACCGGAACAAACTAAAACACTTAAGATATACCAAGTTTTGTTAAAATTTAAAAAATTTATTAAGCATGATTTTACCTTTAGTTAAGCAAAGAATTTTATCGTCGGAATCTTGAACAGGCAAATACAAAGGAATAGGCTTTTCTAATCCAGTTTTCCACTAAAAAATAGGTAAATCTTTAATATTTTTGTTTAATTTACCTTAACCTCGAATTGTTCATTCAATGGAATGTGAAAATTTTCAGCTTTGGGGTTAATAAATTTATGGAGATATTCTTTTCCAAATTTATAGATAAGACTCTTAATAAATAATTAGTAATAAAATATAAAATAGTTACAATAGAAATGGTATCTAATTTCTCCCGAGCAAGTTCTCCTTCATATTTATCAATAAAATCGTAAAGATATAAATTTGTTTGTTTGATTGAGCATAATTCTTCATAACTGAGAAATTTAAATATATCAAGTTTTGTTTCTGTTGGTAAAGAATAAAACATTTTTTGAAATGCTAAAAGATTAAAAATATGTTAAAATAAAATTAAAATGTGTTTGAATATTTGTAAATTTATTGGTAGACTTTAACCAGCTAAAAACAAGATTCAAACAAATTTTATAAAAATTAATTGAGTGCCGGAAAATTGGGCTCTGGAAAATTGGGCTCCAAGATTTTTCGGAAAATTGGGCTCCAGCGGAAATTTGGGCTCTTCGTGAAAAAAGCGGAATATTGGGCTCTAAAATTTTGGGCTCCAGAGGAATTTTGGGCTCTATGGAAAAAAGTCAAATTATGCAATATCAATGGGGGACGTTGTTAGTATGACGGGGGTCAACGGGGGATGTTGTTCCGTCAACGGGGGATGTTGTTAGAATGACGGGAGTAACGGGGGATGTTGTTCCGTCAACGGAGGATGTTGTTAGAATGACGGGGGTCAACGGGGGATGTTGTTCCGTCAACGGGGGATGTTGTTAGAATGACGGGGATCAACGGGGGATGTTGTTCCGTCAACGGGGGATGTTGTTAGAATGACGGGGGTAACGGGGGATGTTGTTCCGTTAACGGGGGAAGTTGTTCCGTCAACGGAGGATGTTGTTAGAATGACGTGGGTCAACGGGGGATGTTGTTCCGTCAACGGGGGATGTTGTTAGAATGACGGGGATCAACGGGGGATGTTGTTCCGTCAACGGGGGATGTTGTTCCATCAATGGGAGATGTTGTTCCACCAAATTTGTTCCACCACAAACATCTCTTTTTTGCATAATTTGACTTTTTTCCATAGAGCCCAAAATTCCTCTGGAGCCCAAAATTTTAGAGCCCAATATTCCGCTTTTTTCACGAAGAGCCCAATTTTCCAGAGCCCAATTTTCCGGACACCAATTAATTTGATCGGAAAAAATAAAATATGTGGTACGTTACAAGGGAAATTTCATAAAATTCTCTAAAACAAGTTCTTCAAAATTATTAACGAAATTGTAAAAAAATTTATTGAATAAAATTCTTCATAACTGTGAAATTTAAAAATATCAAGTTTACCAAAAAAGATAAAGCTTGATATTTTTAAATTTCTCAACTATAAAAAATTATTTCTTTGGAATTGCGTTAAGTGCTAAAATTTAATTGAAGCACTGAAGGAAGTTCAAGAGTAAAATAGGGGTCAGTAGTATATATAAGGGTCCGGGTCCGGTAAAAATAAAATTTTATTGTGGAAATGGAAAATAACTAAAATAAGGAGGATAAAAGAATAAAAGGTAAAAATTCGTACAACCTGCCTAAAAATAATAAAACTATTTTCGTACAGAAAGACTAAGTTTAATTATGAAAAATAAAAATAGCTATTTATATGAGCAGTAAAGGGCGGGAAGTAAGGAAAAGTAAAATATGTAAAGGTTGATTTATAGGTTAAGAAAATTATTTAATAACAAATATAAAGAGGAATAAATTCAAATAATGTTTTGGGGGAATATTGTAAAATAATAAAAGAAAAGATAATCTTAAAATCTTTTTTGAGGGAATAATTTGAATAAATGTGGGAAAAAACTCTGTGTATTGAAACCATAACACAAAACGTTTTCATACAATAATTTACACAATATCAGCAAATTCTATCTATTGTTCAATAAATTAAATTTTCGTTTTCGTCCTCTCAAATTTTAGTCATTCATTTTTAAGATATCGATGCATCGAATTGATCCGGTATCCGGTACCAAGAAAGGCATTGATCCTTTCTTGTCATGAATGATAAATGCAAATCTTTCTTGGATTATTAATGTTGGCGATTACATATCTTTCAGATCTTCTATTAAAAACATCATATTCTCCAACTTCAACATTTTCGGCTCTCTCTGGTAATATAAAATTTTGGAATGTCATAAAATCTAGCTCAATTTTAGTAATCATTTTTGAAAAGTCTGTAGATGTAGTTATATACATACCAGGGTTGCCGCCCGAAACCCGAAACCCGTTACCCGAAACCCGAAACCCGGCCTTTTTTTGTACCCGAAACCCGATACCCGAATTGAAAATTTTCCAACCCGAAACCCGAAACCCGTACCCGATATTTTTTCCAACCCGAAACCCGTGACCCGAAATTGGTTAAAACCCGAAATTTCTACCCGAAAACTTAGCCTTACACGATTTTTTAACCTTAGAAAAATAGAAAGAAATATGTTTATTTTTTTCCAATTTATTTTATATTAGTGGGTGGACGAATGGTTAATGTGTTAGGCTTCACCCCAGTCGTTATGTGGGTTCGATGCTTTGTCAGAAGACGAGGAATTTTCGAATTTTTCTTTCCATAAATAACTTTATTTTATGATTTAATTTTGTTTTAAAAATTATTCTATTTTTACCCTCTAAAATTCTTAAAAAAATTTCCTTTGGCCACTAAAAAGTGAATTTTTTAGCCTAAGGCCTTCCGAAATTTTCAAAATTTTCGCCTGCGGCGCTGAAATAAGAAGAAATATTGCCTATTGGCCTTTAAAATTCTCAAAATTTTTGCCTGCGGCGCAAAAAATGGAAGAAATTTGGCTTTTTGGTCTTCGAAAATTCCCAAAATTTTCGCCTGCGGCGCTGAAAACGGGAGAAAATTGGAGTATTAATGGAAATAAAGCGGAGGGATATTAGTATATAGTGGGATTTTATCAAGGGACCTGTTGATTAATCCACCGATATCCTCTAAATCATTATATCTGCCTTAATCATCTGATATCATTGCCTTGCAATTGAAGGGATTTGAATATATATCAAGTGACATAGAAAGCTTGGAGGTCTTTCTTTACAATCTTTCATAATCCTATCCAACAAGTGCTTGAATCCCTCTATATCTCCTTTAATCCATGATATATAATGTCTCCAATCTCTCTTTAATCTCTTTGCCTCTCTCTATATCACACAAAATCCTATTATGCAACATAGCTTGTCGCCTTACAATTTAGATCACAAATACCTGACACCCGAAAATACCCGAATTTTTCGCCAAACCCGAAACCCGTACCCGAAATTTTTGCCAACCCGAAACCCGATACCCGAAATGAAAATTTTATGACCCGAAACCCGAAACCCGTACCCGATATTTTTGCCAACCCGAAACCCGTGACCCGAAATGAAAACGCTCCAACCCGATACCCGAAACCCGTACCCGAAGATTTTTTGTACCCGCGGCAACCCTGATACATACTACAATTTAAATTTATTTTTGACTTATAACCAAATAGGTAATTTACTTCGACAATGAGATCATAAAGCCTTGGTAAATTTCGACGTCCTAAACGAATTCTCGGAAATTTATCTCCTTCATTTATTAAAATATTAAATAAAATATTTATATATTGCTCCGCATTGTCAACATATAGAAAATTAATTATGAGAAAGCCGGTAACCACTAAATGATTTAAAATGAAGTCCAACATATTTTCAAATGTTCTATTGGTAGGAGATAGATCGGTACTAATTTAGTTTCCCCCCCAGTCAATTTTTTAGGTAAATGTATTAAAAATGGTCAGTTTTTGCAACTCGACGAGCTGTGTCGAATGGTACTAAAATTAACCCCGGGTCTTAACTTTGAACCGAGATACAGACCATAAAAAATTAAAAGTATTTATTTTAAGACTACATTTACAATCTCTTTTCTTCTCCTAACTTCTAAGAGACACGCCTACTTTTTTTCCTTATTTAACTAAAAAACTTTCTTTCTCTCCTCACTAATCCTCTACTCATATTCAAAAAATTTTCCTTAATGAATAACAACTCAAATAACAACAAAATCGATTTATTCTCTCATTTACTTATTACATGGATAGAGAAGTGAGACATGTAACCAAAAATTATAAATTATTTCGTTCTCTGAACCGAATTTCTTTCTCCACATATATTCTGGAAAATAAGTTTTGTAAGTTCCTTCTGCACATCCAAACTGTGTTTTAAACACATTCTTGACCTTTTGCCATTGACTTTCTACCGTTTGGGTATGGGCACCAGTCTTATCATCAACAAAACGTTCTTTATGATTGACCTTATAATGAGTATACCCCATTCCCAATTCTGGAATCTTATTATAAGCACCCCAACAGTCCGAATGAATTTCTGTCTCTATAATTAAACAAAACACTAATTACTTATCAAATCTATAAAACCTTCTCTGACATATTGTTTAATTATAGGTAGCAGTGTTTCTGCATCCCGCTTTTGACCTTCTAATGGTACCAAAAAGCAATTATGCGCATTTCCTCGCTCCACCCCTCCAAAAAGCCAGACCTCTTTCTTTGCCAATTCTCTTCCCTTATTATATTTTCTCCTAACAGCCACAGTCTCGTCTATCTCTACTATAACCCCTATTAAATTTCTAATAATTACTTCTATATTTTAATTTGAATACCAGGTCCACCAACCATAACAGTATTTTCTTCAAAATACTGAGCACACACATCTCTAAAAAATTACGCCAATCTACAACCGTCGCACTACTCACACCAAATTCTCTAACCCAAGATTCCTGACGACCATATTTCATTGCCCACCAATATGCCATTTTAAATACTTTCTTAGTTGTAAGATGGGACCCACTAAAGAATGTTCCCGTCAAAAAACTCTTTTCTTTTTTGCATTTTGAGATATAACATCTATATCTCCCATAACGTTCCCCTTCTTTGGCCTTTTTTATACCCATTAAATTTCCACATTCACACTTCATAAATTTATGTAAAAGTCCTAGTTCTACAAGCCACTGATCAAAATCTTTATCAGATAAAAATAATTTTTCATATAGGTCATCCATTGTAAAATTTTTAAGTTGTTCCATCTGAAAAAGTTTTTTAAAAAAAATTAAAAGAATGAGGAAATATACATATTTCAAGACTATATATATCAAGACTGAGTAAATGTGGGCGTGACAAATTTTTCAAAATCGCAGTAATTAAAAGCACATTTAAAAAGTTTTTCCAACCAGCAGCGAACAATAGTCATTTCTTTAATGTTTCTTGGAATGTTTGGCAATTTTAAAAGATAATAACGATAGTCAACTAAATAAAAAATAACCTAAAATTTTTTGGGCCGTGAGAGCTTGACATTCCGGGACGAGCTACAGACCCCTATGGTTTCCATAAAGGTTTGCGAAGGAAGCCATGCATGCCCACCAAAGCAAGATATGAGTAGGCTTCCCACCCCCTCCCAGTTATTTTGTTCAAAATTGTTAGCATTTGTGTAAAATCTCGCTGTAAGTCACAAGTACCCCTTAATCGGGTCTAACTCGCCCTTAAATTGACTAAATTGATATAATTGTTACGTTATTATTGGATAAATATTTTTAACCTAAAGTTTTGATACAAACAAGTGGTTTTATATCATATTCAGAACTTATATGGTTTAGGTGCGCTTTTTTTAACCACGCCCCTTTCTCCTTTTCCCTCGTCAATCAAACGCATTGTCACCCTTCCTTCTTTCCTTTTCCATCATTATTCTTTTTCCTTCTCACAAATTAATCAATTCAACGATGACTTACCAATTAAGCAAAATAAATTGTAAATATTAAAATTTCTAAGATCTTCCATATCCTGGACTAAATTAAACAAAGTTAAAAGTCTTAAGCCTAAGATGAAGTGAATTTTTTTAAAGGATAAAGTAAATGAGGAAAAATGAGAATGAAAATGAAAAAGGGCGTGGTGTAGTGCAGTTGCTGATAAAAAGGAAAAGTATTAAAAAATGATGGAAAAGGAAAGAAAGACTGACCATTTTGTACGTAGTGCGTTTGATTGACGAGGGAAAAGGAGAAAGGGGCGTGGTTAAAAAAGCGCACCTAAACCATATAAGTTCCTCATATTCACTTAAAAACACCGGAATTGATACATCTATTGATGCCTTCCACTGAAAAAGTAAATGTAATTTGATTAATAAAAATTAATTTATAACCTTGTCATTAAGTTGATCATTTAAAGTAAATTCAAAAACTCCAGATTCAGGTTCAACACAATTATATTCAAAATCTATTTTTTTATTTTCATCAATCTAAAAAATTCAAAAAAAGTTGTTTAACAAATATTTACTATTGAGAGTTCATAAAATTTCTTTCGTGCCAATTCCCCCTCATATTTATTAATTAAATTTCGAAAATAAAAATTGGTTTGTTTAACAGAAATTAACTCGTTGAAATTAAGATATTTTAATATATAAAGTTGAACTTCGAGTGGTAGTGAAATCATTTTGATTATCAAATACAAATTAATTTATTTAGAAAAATCCAAGAAGTATTCTAAAATTTATTATTTAGATACAGAAAAACCATAGTTTTATTGTTAAAAATGAAAAAATAAAGGCTTTTTCTAGAGCAACATCTTTAATGTATGAGTTCAATTATTTGTGATAAAAATTTTAAAAAAATTTTATTTGTTGATAAATTTTATATAGAAATCTTTAATGGAAAAATAATTTGTAGATTTTATAGAAAAAAGTTCGGCGCAACAGAATAAATTTCCATTGATAATTTAGCTTGGTTGTTCACAATTCTTCTAAATAAAATGAAGAAATTTGCAATTATGTTCATTATAAGTAGAGCCCGGATTTTTATGCAAATGCATATTTTTTTGCAAACTTTTCATGATGTGTAATGCACAAAAAACACTGTTTCCGCATGTTTTGAAAACTTTAGAGGGGGTTTCTATTTGCATATAATGCATATTTTTGCATATTCCGGACTTTGTTGCATAATGCATATTTTACTGCATATTTTGAGGTTTTTGGGGAAAATATTGCGAAAATTGCCTAAAATCCTGCCAAAAAGTGAAAATTTAGTAAAAATTTAGGAAAAAATTTGTAAAAATTACAAATTTTGTAAAAAAATTTTTTGCGTTTATTGGTTTCGCCAGAAAATGGCTCACCCCCATAATGTCTCAGCCCCAAAACGTCGCACCCCAAGATGTCCCACCACCAAAATGCCTCATTTCAAAATGCCCAACACCGTAAAAATGCTCAATTTGTCGAACTATACATTTAAAATAGGAGAAATCTTAATAAAAAAATGTATTTTAAATCATTTTGACTAAAAATATGTAAAATTTTTAGTTATAAATGGTATTTTTCATGCATATATGCGTGTATATTTTGGTTTACTTGCATATTTTTTTGCATATTTTGGCAATTTTTTATGCATATTATAGTGCATATTTTGCATTTTTTAATGCATAAAAATCCGGGCTCTAATTATAAGCTTTTATTTTGGTAATGAATAATTGAATTCATTTTTCTTTTTATATGTATTCCCATTTTGCTTAAATCGATAAAAGGAAAATATTTCATCTAATACCAGTCAGTCACCATATCAATCTTTGAACGTTTCAAATGCTAAAATTTACCAAAAAATGAATAAACAAAGTTTGGATTAATCATACAGGTTGACAAAGAAAAGTATTTTATTGATAAAAGTAAATAGGGCTTTCTGTCGGACTACAAAGAAAATTTTTATATTTTATCAACGAATAATTTTTCAGAAATTGTTTTAAAAAATAAAGAAAATGATTTAATCGAAAAAATAGGTATAATATCCCCGGCCTTATCTCTCAAATTAATGAGGAACCAATACTAACAAATTAATCTATTTATTTATTAAAAGTCCAGTTCAAAATAAGGCAAAGAATTAGAAATATGAAAAGCTATTTATATAAGTGACAAAGGGCGGGAAGTAAAGAGAGGTGAAGTATTTACAAGTTTGAAATATATACAAATGTAGGTTAAGGAAAAGGTTGATAAGAAACTTTAAAGAGAAATAAATTTAAATAATGTTTTGGGGAAATGTTGTAAACTGATAAAATGGAAAGAAACATTTAAAAATATGTTTTGAGGGGAGAGTTTAAATAAAAGGAAAAAACATTAAAATAAATGAAAATAATATTTTAAAAACTAATAATAAATAATCTTAAAATCCGGATCCAACAATAGGCAATCCCGGAGAATTGGGGTACCTACGGAAAAAAATCTTAAAAATAAGAAAAAGGATTTCTCTAGAGTAAAAAAATATGCTGATTACGAATCTGAGCTAAGATTTTGCAGGACCCCAATTCTCAGGAATCGACAAAAAACAAATGAGAACAATCTTTTTTTAATTTTACTGTCCGATAAACGAATTAGAAATTACTCTTTTTTCATTATTCTTAAACTAGAAGCAATATCTTTACGTCTTGTTTCGTTAATATAAAAATAAAATCTTTCCTTTGGATTGTGAATATTGGCTATGTGGTAATTTGTATATTTTATAACCCCAAAGTCATTAACTTTAATGTTTTCTGCTCTTTCACTTAATTTAAATTTTGTTCCTCCAGAGTGATGTAAACAAATATAAGACAATTTTTGAACACTCTCTAGATGTTGCTATATACTAAAATTTTTATAGAAATTTATAAATTAAAAAAGTCTGGATAACTTACTTCAACAATGAGATCATAAATTTGTGGCAATTCACATTCAAACATAAAACTGACATGATGTAATTTATCGCCTTTATTTAATAAAACATCATGTAAAGTATCTGTATATTGCTCTGGATCGTCAACATCGTCCAAATACATCGAAAAAGATTCAGATATTACTATATTATCTGAAATGAGGTCCACCAAATTTTCACATATTCTATTGTTAGCAGATAGATATAAATGATTAATGTTAAATTTAAGAGGAATTTTCTTGTCGTTATCAAATAATATATTGACCATTTCTGGATTAAATACAGCCTTATCAAAATGAGCTCGTTCAAAAGCACAATTAAAAAGTATTTCCATCCTGCAACGAGCAATACTCATTTCTTGAATATTTTTTGGAAGGTTTGGAAATTCTAAGATATAAGTAGATCCTCCGTCCTCTAAATAGAAAAATGATTAAAAATTATTTGGCAAATTGAGATCTAAATTTGCACAATTCATAAAAATAGTCTCCGTTTTTCAGAAAATTGATAAAATTAATTTAATAATTTTTTAAACCTGTCGTCTTTAAATCAACAAGTATTTTGCCGATGGATTTATCCAAGAACAAAGGAATAGATTTGTCTATAGCTGTTTGCCACTGAAAAAAAATTTAATTTAATTAAAAATTAATTTATTAACCTTCTCTTTAAGTTGATCATCTAAAGTTAATTCAAAATTTCCGGATCCAGGTTTAATGAATTTATATGGATTTAACTTTTCAAGAGATTTGGGCTCAATCTGAAATTAATTTAACAAAAAAAGTTTACATATTTACTATTGAAATTTGATAAAATTTAATTTGTGCCAATTCCCCCTCATATTTATTGATTAAATTGCAAAAATAAAAATGAGTTAGTTTGACAGAGAATAATTGGTTGAAATTAAGTAATTTTAATACATCAAGTTGAACTTCTGGTGGAAGAGAAAGCATTTTAATTTTAATAATCTAGAAAAAATATAGGAAAAATCCCAATTCTCCTAAATTTATTATTAAAATCGATTGTAGTTCTATGGAGAAAATGAGAAGCAACTAAAATTAAGAAAGCGAAAGAGCATTAGACAAAACAAAGCTTAAGTATAAATCGCCTAAAGACAAATTGTCTAAGAATAATAAGGACATCTAAAAAGGACATATTAATTAATAAACAAAAAGTACAAAATATTATGTAATATTCTTTAAATAATTTTGAAATATTTGTTTTTAATTTACCTTTATGTATTTTTCATGTGAATTTAATAGCTTAAAAAATATTTCTCAATATTTAATTTTAAATGCCAAACATAGTTGCGTCGTAATCGAAATTTTTTTCGTAATCATAATTTCAAAAAAAATTTCGGAATCGTAATTCGTAACTCAAAAGATGCCGTAATTCGTAATTTTTAAAAAATATTTAATTTAATTTAAAAAATAAAATATTTATTAATAATTGATGCTAGACCCTTTAATCTTTCCGAGTCCTCTTATTTCTCCAATATATACTTCAAATCTCAATCAATCTCTTGATATCCCTCTTAATCTAAAATCCCTTTTCTGCGCCGCAGGCTTTATAAACAAAAATTCAATTGTTAGAGCCGGAGAAAATTTTAAAAAATCATGACTTAATTAAAAATTTTAAAGATTTTTCAATTTTAAGATATTAAAAAAATAAATTTAAATCAAAGTTTAAAAACAAGTGTTTTTGGAAAAAACACTTGTTTAAATTTCATTTCCCAATCATGGATTCGAACCAAGCTCCAAAAAATGCCTGACTTCTAAACCACTGAAAATCAAAAGGTAATCTGGAATAAAATATAAATATTCCTTTAACTTTGTATTTAAAAATGAGATAACAAAATACGTGAGGGTTTTTCTTGAATTCTATTTTTTAGTAATTTTTTATTTTCGTAATTCGTAATTTTTCCCGATATTTTCGTAATCGTATTTGTAACTCAAAAAAACGCCGTAATTCGTAATCATAATTCGTAATTACGACGCAACCCTGATGCCAGACAATAAATAATCCGCGTATAAAAGTCCGCGCAATAAAGCTTTGATTACTTTATTAAAAGATATTTTTTCCTTACTAATTCAAAAGAAGTATTTCAATGTTTTTAATCAAATTTTTATTTTTTTCTCAAATATTATTTTTAAAATTTTCTTTTTGTTTTTCATTTTATAAAATTAATCAACGAATTTTGGTTGAATCCACAGAAAATAACAAAAATGAGGATGGAAGTTTTAAAATAAAATTATTGAAAATGGAATTATCTGAAAGTGTTGAAAAACGTATTAATAATAATATCAAAATTTTATTTGAAGTTAATGCAAAAAATGAAAACGACGTTTATTTTGTTGGATATGGTAGTTTTTGGGACTGCAAGTATAATCACGATGATCCCACACTGTTGTTAAAAGTACTGATAAAAAAGGGAACAGATTAATACAAATTGAAAATCTCTCAATCATCAATTTCAGCGACGGTATAAGTATTTGTTCGTCATTGCGTGACAAATACATGGTACGTTGCTAAATTACAAATGTACTTCATTCTTTAGCAGATCTCTATATATTTATCACTTCTATTAGACTTCTTTTTTAGTCATTTCATTTACCATTAAAAAACAGAAAATAAAAGAATATCCGAATACCTGATAGATAATAGAAGATATGGTTATTTTTGCAAAAATGTGGTTTGCATAATTAACGGACAATGGTTCACACGGTTTAAAATAGAGTTGATCAAGACGAGACCGATACCGAGATTCTCGGCTTTTTTCCAATATCGATCTCGGTTTTTTCATTCTCGGTCTCGAAACCGATACCGAGATTCTCGGTCCATTTCTCGGCGAGAAACGATACTGACTCAAAGAAACAAAATTCTCAATATTGTCCAAGTTTTCGTCCATAATTTTTTCGGATATCCGTCCATAACAGAGAAATCTGTGAACTTAAAAAGAACCAAGTCGAAAACCTTTTCGATCAAAGCGATTTCAAACCCACGTTTTCAACGGAAGAGGATTGAGAAAATCTGCTTTTTTGAGACGTGCCTCATCTGTTTTTATAAATGACTAACTCGTTTCATTTTTAGGAATTAATGACTTTGCGACCTATATTTAATGGACAAATCAATTTGGAAGCAAATCAGCTGTCAGATGATAATATTGCAAGAGATAATATTTTTCATGAACAGAAATATATAGACATAAACGGTGTAAGAACTCGAGTATTTATTTTTTTTAAAAAGAATTATAAATTAACAAGATTGACATGTTTTTTGAATCATGAAGGACCTAAAAAAATTTTCAAGAAAGAAAAGTATACCAAGGTGAATTTATTTGAACCATTTTCTTTAAATGCCAAAAAACCTGAAATGATAATGTAATATTCTCACATTGAAATTTGTCTAAAATTTAAAAATCCAGGCAATTATTTTGTAATTGTTAAAAGGTTATTTCGTCAGGGTTGGCTTGAATTTTTTGTTAAAATTAAAAAAGAAAATGAGGAAAAGTGTGTTTTCAAAATGTTCAAGAATATGAATGATTATGAGAAAAAAGTTTTGAAAAGTTTGAGACAGTCCATGGATATCAACGTGTCAAAAACGGAAAGAAATAATATTGAAGATGGTCAAATGGATGTATATAATGGAGGCTCATTCTACAAAAATCAAGAATTTGTTTTCAGAATATATTCAATTCTGAATGAAGGAATATATGAATTTCATTTAGACAAAGAAGGAATAACAAGGGAAGTGGAGATTGTCGATTCGGATAACGAAATTGTAAATTTAAAATAAAGAGATGTCAGCAAACATAATTTAAGAAATCCTATTAAAAAATCTATATTTCACAAAGAAATATTTCGAAATTAAAATTTTTCTTTCAAAATTTATAATAAATTTAAGTCAATTTCTGAATAGGCTTACTTTTATTTCATTTATGATTAAATATTTTAAAAATTTTTTGTTTTTCATTGACTTTTTTCAATTAAATTATTTTTTATTAAATTCATTTTCATCAAATGTTTAACAGGATAATGCCTGTAGATCTATTTTTTAAATAAATTTATGCACATTTTACTTAACATTTACTTAATATATTTTAATATAATTTTTATGTTAAAATTTCAGAAAAAAATTATTATAAAAATATATTTTTCAGATAAATTTTTCTTAATTAAAAAAAATTTTTTTACGAAAATATTTTTTATAATATTTTAAAAATTAAAAATATTTTTATTTTATTTTTATTTATTTCAACAATTAATGTTTATGGACGTTCTATTCCACCTAGCAAAGCTAATCCAACACAAAACGATATACCTTTAGATATTCTCAACGATTTATTTAATTTAGTTGTTGATTTGAAAATAAAAAAAGATTTGGAAAAAATTGATAATTATTTAAATAAAGAAGAACAAAATACGGAAGGAGAGAAATAAACAATAGTTAAAGAATTGTGATTGGAGAGAAGAATGAAAAATGAATTGTCAAAAATTGATATGAAAAATTAAAACAAAATTTTTAGGGGAAAAACTTTTTTTTAAATGTTAATTATAAATCATTTTCTTCTATTTATTCCAATTCAAATTAAGATGAAGAAAATAAACATTTTTAAATTCAAAAAAATTCAAAAGAAAATTTGAGAAAAAATTTTAAGCAAACATTTTAAATATTTTATTTTTATTACCATTTTGAGAAAACTTTAGAATAATTTCCCATTCATATTATTAAAATTGTTGTTCTTCAACATTTATTTACTTTTATCAATCAAATACATTTTCCTTCTGTTCATAAAATTCTAAATCGGTAACCATACGTATCCGTCGGATCTTTAAAAAATACTGCCCATATCACTATTTGCTGTAATTCTTTTCGGCTCTTATATACATAAGAAAAAACGGCGAATTGTGTTGGTCATCGAAAATCTAAAAACCATAGAGGGAAATTGACTAAACATTAAATAAATTTAAATAAATTTGAATAAATTTAAATAAATTTGCACCTTGCAAACGACTTCCGCGTTTTTAAAAACGGAAGCGTAAGTCGATTCTCCGTCCCTATTTTATTGCATGCATTTTATAATAAAATGTACAATGCTAACTGAATCAATTTAAAATTTTAAAAATTAACTTCCTCTTCACTTCCTTCCCACTCATTTCCTTACCCTTTATACATATGCTCTCCCTCTTCCTTCTTCACATTAATTTATTTATTTACTTCAATTTTATTCGAGAAAATTAAATATTTTTAATTTATTTTTAATTTTGAATTCTTTTCAAAATAGGACTGGAATTAATTAAAAACTTCTTCAAATGCTAACTGGTTCCAATCTAGAGCTTTAATTATTTTTAATTTAATTTT